GATTTATTCCAATTTACAGAAGAGCAACGTTACCAAAGCTATCGATGCAATAAATAAAATTTTTTTCAACCGCAATTGCTTACCTCATGAATGTTTTATACCTCCTTTTTTTACTAGCAAACATTGCCCGATTACCACTCGCCTTAAAAACGATCAATTATCAAGATAAAATTCAATCGGTACTCGAACGTAATCGAGAAATAAGGCCAAGTAGAAACAGCCATGTGTAGCCAGACGTATGATAATGTAGAAAATTAACCATATTACAGATTCATTCCTTAACGTAAATTACTGTTTGCTTTTCAAATTACAGATGTACTTGGTATAGATTTGATTAGATTAGTTTTAATGCGGATCATTGAGAATTTCTATAATTACCGAGTTTTCCGTTTTATCATTTTTATCATCTTTTGTATCTCCAATGGCAATCAACGCGTTAAGGGTATTAAGATAATAACTCTGTATGCAGTTTATCTTCCGTTCTCGTTTGTTAGTAACACCAACGTTTTCATCGAAATAAAAGTGTTAACAATTTCTCTCTCAGTTATTTTTCTTTGACACTCGTTTCTTTCGCTACTCGTAACCTGTATTTTTGCAGAAAGTCTTTATTGAATCGATGCCCGAACGAGACGTGTTACATGGGTGGATTCTTCGAACACGCCTCGATACCATCTAGATCACGTACCAGAAAAGTCTTGCGCCTTTTGCCTTTGTTAATTGCTACTTGATACCAACAATGCGGTTTATAAGTTATGTTATCAAGGTTAACTACAATTCCCATTATTACAATTCTTTACGCGACTCACAAACATGTAAATTATTCTGGACCAATATTCAGATCACGAAACGTTAGAAGGGAAAAAGAGGAAAATGGTATTACAAAAGGTAGTCGAGGACAATTATTGTCGGTGATTGTCCTTTCGTGAAAGATTTATTCTGGGACAGGATGCACGTTTTGGCATTTGCTGGAAAGATCAGGAAAATATCGAAAACAGACCTTCGTACAATGAGTACCTCGTACCTAAAGGTGTTAAATCATCAATTCGCGTATTAACAAGGCTGCCATTTATCTTTGTCAACGTCACGTTGAAAACGTAACATTTTCTTTTTTGCAGCGGAACTTGAGGCGTGGCTCGCGTAGCGTGGTTGTCTTTTAGTTGGTCGTAAGTCGACAAAAAAGAACATTATGCAAAATATAGTCAGGTAGCATTAAGAAATTGCACGTTGAATACGTGATCGTATGTTGCGGGAAAAATAAAAAACGGTATATTGTCTGACGTTTACTTCTGCGTGAACTGCGAGCGGTGTTGAAATTCAATTTTTACATCTTCGAATTTTAAACCTTGCATTTTTTAAATTTCTTAATTTCTTAATTATTACCTCCCCGAATTCTTAAATCGTAATTTATATTTTATTTTTTACTATTAAAGTTTTATTTTATTACAGTATTGTACATTTTTCATTTCAAATTTACGCGCGCTTTGATAACAGTACCGCTAGCACTACCTAGTGGGGATCACTGGAACTGTTAGAACAAAAAATTAATATTTTTCACAAAATAAGCAATTTCTGTGCTTTATTGAGTCGATTAGACATAATCCATTATACATAATAATATAAAGTCGAAAACTATAAAAATTATATTACAAAAATACTTTCGAAGCTTTATTAAAATTATCAATGAAATTATAAGTCAAGGGAAGCTTGCTCCTGCTTAAAATTCACTTAAAAAGCTATAACCATATTTATAGCCATTAATTTTCTACAATTATAATGTTTAGTGAAATAACAGATTGAACGCTCTTTCAAAAAGACCGCCAAAATCTTGCTCCACCATGATGGTCATCTAGTGTCGATTCTCAGAATTAATTCAGTTCAACTTTGCTTAATTTTGATGATTCTCTTCAACTAAAAATATCACGATACATTTATTGCGCAAAATATAAAAGGTATAACGAAAGTGTAATAATAAATTTTTATTTTTTCTCAATTGAATAATAATTTCATACCTGACCGCTAGATAGCGCTGACTGTATCTTTTCTGAATCTTTGAGATACTAAAAGTCGGTAACTTTCATCTTAATTTTTTAACACATCTTCATCCCATTATTTAAACTGTATTATCAACACAAAAAATGAGTCAAGAATATTAAACACTACAGGAAAGAAGGTAAAACTTATTTTCAGTTGCATTCGGTTCTTAACACATTATCGTAAGAGCAAACGTACGTATTTCAGGATCGTACATACTATTCACATCGATTACTACGATCTACATCAATTATCATTTACTGTCTCACACGTTTTATTAAGTAGAAATACTAGTAACAAAAATTAAATATGATTTCATTCATCATTTCTTTCATATTTGAGTATCTAGTTTAAATGTCATACTTCGTTCATGTACATGGCGATTAATATCATAGGTACGTCAGTGTCAATGTGACATGCCATCTACTGTCAAACCAAACTTCGATTACAAAAATAAGAATAAGGAACTGCATCACAATATTGAATGTATAGGTAATAAAAAATTGTTCTGTTAACAAAATTTTGAACTAATCGTTATTGTTATTCGGACAGTTATGTTTATTTGAAATTATCAGTAAGATTTGGTCAGTGGTTTAGTGAGTCATGGGGAGAAACCACAGCATCGGCGCGCTCAGCTAGCGGTTGTCATGGTGACGACCAATCATCTTCCCCCACTTTTTTGAAACGAGCCCCCTCTGCGTCAGTCGTTCGCGAAGCCTCGCAGGCGGTGGATTGTGTCTCCGATAGTTGGTTGCTGTTTTCATGTGTTGTCGCCCTTTCTTGAGTTACCCTTCGTGAAAAATCGTAAAACGGTGCGCCTCGGGGGCGCTACCGCGAGTGTAGAGTGCCGAATTTCAGCACGGTGATAGACTAGCTCCCGGTTCTTCCCTACACGGTCAATAATGAGGGACATGGCGGGCAAGATCGCCGAGTTGAAGTTCGAGGCACCCCTCGCACGTTTCGAGGAAGAGGACACGGCCAGTCTAAAGAATATGAATATATTGACAGGTGCGAAAACGAATCTACACTATTGTTTTATTACTTTGCTCTCGAATCGCTGCGCATCTTTCCGTGCTGTCACCCGACAATGTAACCTTGCGTGGATCAAAGTTTATCGCGATGTACTGAATTCGAAATGATCGTTGCGAACGCATTACGTCAAGTACCAAAATTACGATACAAAGTTAAACGGGTCGCTCGATATCTCGGGACATCTTCGTTTCTTTTCTCTATTCTTGTCTTTAATCGATTTCCGTATCGCTTCGAAAGTGGGTGGTAATACACTGTACGCTTACAAAACGATGAAATTGACTTCGATAATGATCAAACAGTCCCATTATCTGCGCGATCTTCTCTTTGCTTTGACTAAAAAAGGCGTTTCAACGCAAGCCGGCATCGTACAAACGGAAATTTCGAAACCGAAAGAGTTTCTCGGTAGTGGGAACAGGTTTTGTTGGCTGCGTAAACGCGTGAAATATGTTCGTGCACGCGTGGTCACGCTCATTTTGCGGACGTGCAAATTAAATGACGAGGGTGGCTGGTTGGCGTACAGGCCAGCGTGAAGAAGCGACCTTCGAAGCACGACAAAAGGCTACGTCATGCGTACAATTGGTGTCTAATATCCTTCATGTACGCTTTAACTCCGTATCACTTTTCACGACATCGTAGAAACAACGTTGTCCTCCAAACATCGCTGCGTGTATTAATACGCCCCAGAAAAATGACAGACATTTAATCCTGGAAACATTCGATCCGCTTTATGCGTCATTGTCGTTCACGGGAAAATCTGATTACCGTTTGTGCAATTGATAATATCTCTGGAAGATGTAATTAATACCGGTCGCATTATAAGAAGTGTCTCTCGCGATGCGCTAGCTATGATACGCCCCTGTGCAGGAGCGACGCGACGAAGATTCGTTCCTTGGAACTGACCCTTAGGTCCATGAAAAATTCATTGCATATTCCGTACAACTCCGTGCATAGTCTATTATTTACATTTCATATATATTGATACAGTAAGCGCTCGTTATATCGAGCCTTTGTAAGAATTTTCATGATTCCCCACCATTGCGATATTCACACACTAGAGGCGGTACTGCGCATGCGCACTTTTAGTGCTCCTCGCAATATTTTAACGCATATTTATAGTGTTTCCCCACTATCCAATGTATACTATTCTCCTCCATCACCGTAGTGTTATTATCGATTATTTAGACACCATCGATATTTTACTGATATGGAACGGTATATCGATTGGGAGTGGCAGAACTCCAAATTTAACTTACTTTAATATTTTATTATTCAACACTATTCTTGTTTAAACTTCAAGTTATAATCTAACTTGAAAGATAAAATTGTGTATGAAGTTAAGTCAGTTTGGTTAGGTAAGGTCACGTGTCTATAAAATTGATAAATACTTTCTACTATTTTGGAAGCCAGTTGTGCAAATATTCACACCGGCCGGCCCTGCGTCAGTGTACAAAGAGTGACCCCATCTTTCGCGTTTATTGCGTCCCACACTATCGAGCTATCTGTTTACTCTTCTCTCTCGGCTTAACTGGATACGGTAACGCACGGACTGACGCGTTTTTAGGTCTAAAAATAAAACAGAACTCTGAGAAAGATACGATCTTCTCGGTGACCGTTTAGAGCTGATTATTGTCGCAAAATACCACTGATTTTATCGAAGATTTTCTTTTTTTATATTTAGAACAATTATTGGACACCAGTCTGAACACCAGCTACAGCGAGAATTGTAACGCAAACGAGCCGCCGACGACCCATGAAAATGGCACCGATATTCTACAGGAGGGGACGTTCAGCCCTTTCAGCGGTAGTCTCGAGGACCTCGTTAACACTTTCGACGAAAAGATAACATCCTGTTTTCGCGATTACGGCACGGACGTTGAGTCATTGGCACCTGTGCAAGTACGGACACAGGAGGAGATTATGAACGAGTGCCAGTGAGTTTTTCATCTAGTAACCTCATTAATAGTCTTCCAAGATTGAAGATAAAGTGTCTTAAATTGTAGATAACAATTTAATTTTCCAGATAGATCTTTGCTTAGCCTGGTATCTTTAATGACAGTCGTGTTAAGTACTAACTTCCAAGATAATACTTTATATAGTTCAAGTGAGATTAAGTTAAGGTTGAGGTAGATCAGAGTTAGGCTAGTTCAGAGTCAGATTTAGAGTTGGGTTAGACCCACACTGTTTATGTTTGTTTTGAAATATTTATAATTAGGTAAGTAAGGATATCCGATACAAAATGATTTCCTACAGCAGTTCATACCGTCAAAGTGGTAATTTGTAACCGTTGAACCGTCTCTTTCAACAGGGTTGCAGCTAGAAAAAAACACACGAAGTGAAAACGATGTCGGTATCTACATGCGCGATTGAGAAGTTTCTGTTACCCTTGGGTCACGCGATATCTCCGGTACAGTTATACCGGTTTTACGCGGCCACGTTGGACGATTAAAGAAAAATGGAAGGAAAAAATTCCTCCGAGGCGGAGTGGATAAATGAATACCCCTGAAGATTGCCGGAGTTATCGCGTTCAAATTGTCGCACTTACCTTGAAATATCTATTACACCTGTCGCTGATGTATTCTCATTATACCGTAAATGATAGTCTCCCCGTAGCTTCTGACATAACGGAAGTAATCGTTTATATAGCGTTGCCCGTTGTCATGTTATTCTCGCGTGAATCATAATTACTAGATCAGCTCCGGTATTCCGATGCCTCGATGAAAGAGCAATCTTTTACGAGCAGCACGAGTTTACAATTCATATAAAGTGTAACAGGCGCAGAGATTATACCGGTTTACGCGTACCATTGCCACGTGGATTACCGGTGATCTACAGCCTCTGCCGGAAGCACCGCGTTAATTATATTAAGCTAAACAAATATCGGTAATTACGTTTGTAAAGTATCATGCAATTAGTCATAGAAGTTAGGAACGTTGTACTTCTGTATTTATTAGTAGTTCTGGTAATTATTAATAATGGAATTGCATTTGTATTTTGAAACAGCAGAAGTGTAAAATGTACTAGCAATTATTTTATATCAAGCTTCTGCCGTGTTTTGATTTTTATGTGGCATGAAAAACACGTTCAATAATCTCACGTTAACGCTTTCTTCGACTCCCGTTAAGACACCAAACAATTTCACTCTGTGCTCGAGCTAAACCAATATCGCTGAACGATAGTCGTACGGTTTCATTACAGCCGTTACAGGTAGTTGCGGTAAATCTTGAGATTGATACGGTTCAACGGGTATTATCCTCTTGCCATTGTCGACAACGTATCATTTTGTTACTTTTTTGTGACTGTTGTAATCCAATTTACAACATGCAAATCATTTTGATACTATGTACTAGATACTTTAGGTCAGGGAATCTTTTAATGTGAAATCAAGGACAAGTATTTTATAATTTAGATCCTTCACATAAATTTTAAAACTAGACTCTCTGTATCAATTTATAAATCATCAAAGGGATGCTGCTTTGTTTTTAAAATGTATTCTTCTGTAAATTTTGAAACAATATGCGCGTAGTCAGTAGAAGTCTGATCCTTAAGATCACAGTATCGATTTTCCAACTGAAAAGTGTGCCACCATGAGTACTCTCTACATGACGTTCTGCGGCGCGTTCTGCAGCTTTCTCTCCACGAAGTGGACACTGCACATAACAAGAAAGAAACTCACCTTCTAATTAGACTATCATCTTATATTCTGCAGACGTATCTCTTCTAATCGATCGAATACTGGTTTCTTAATTGCTTTGTAATTAACATATGAGAAATTGTGAGAGATTAGAAAATCTCTTTGATCGATAACAGTAAGACATCTCTATAAATTTGTAGACTCAGTAGTCTCGCAAAAATTGAAATGGATAAAAAACTTTGCTTATGCCAAATGAGTTTATCCAAGCAGCGTTGAATTACACCGATACAGTTAATTTTTCTGAGCAAACAGTCGTTCGACTTTTATCAAACATAATAAATGACTAGTTCCTTGTTATTAAAATTGTACGTTGTAATATTATCTTGGAAGGTAGAATAATTGATGTACCACTTAAAGTGTTAAATATTTAACGACGCTCTAATCTAATCTCTTCGTGGCTAATTCAAATATAACACGATTATTCTTTCTGTAATCGCATAGAACATTAAACGAGAGTATTCTAATCTCTCGCAGTATATTTTCAAAGAAAATGTGTATGTAATTTTTGAACATTTATAGAAGCACGCGTAACTGTTGTGCAGGTGTCCGAATATTGTACTTCGTAATAAGCGAGACTGCAGGTGAAACGCTCAACGAAGCGCAAAATTGTATCTTCTTCGGTGTAGAATAACGTTGACCAGGGTTCTTAAACTCGTTTGAGCCTCCACTGTTGTCTACTGTTGTGCATAATTTCTTTGAAGTCGCGCGCCTCTTTCAAAATCTGTCTAGACTGGTTGTCTCTTTCATCGAGTCGATCAGAAGGGATCGAGAACAAAATAAACATCCACGCCCACGCTCACCTGCGCGTAAAAGTTTTTTTGTGGAGATTGCATCACAGGTAGAAAAATGGCTTTCAGCCGTCCTAGGGTCAGGTTGAATTGACCCGCGTTTGTTCCCTCGGAGCTGTTGAGTACCTGCTGCTCAAGCACAATGGTCTTTTCTCTTTTTCTCGTCAAAGGAATTTTTAAATTCCTACGCGGCAGATTACCACGCGTTACATCAATTTCAAGGATTTCTGCTCTGTACGATGAAAGTCTGGGACGTGAAAATAGAGCAAAATACCCAGGAAATATTTAGCTGTTGGAGCAGCAGTAATTATCTCCCTTTATGAAGTTAAGTAATTACGTCGATGCAATTACGCGACGAATTAACTACTGTATCGAAAATCCAAACCCTAGCGAGAAGTCGAGGGGTCAGTGTCCGAGGTTCGCGGATACGACACGTGCTGTTGCACGTGTCTTGTTCGGTATTGCTGACGCTTTTCATATGCATACACTAGGCCCGAAAGAATAAACGCATCCGTGCGTACATATCCGGCGTAGCATTGTTCGTAATCCAATTTGTTGCTACATCCATCACATTGTACATGAAATTGCTCACATTAATCGCGTACAATTTGCACGAAGTCTAAGGTTGTATTCCATAATTCCACTTGGCCGTTTCAAGGAGTAATTTCAAGTCCTTTTAAACGCTCATACAATACCTGAACGTTAAAATATTGCAGAGCACGTTCAGCTCCAGATTGTTAAACGCATAGACTTCAATAGCTGGTTGCGACAGAATAGAGCGTTGCAGGAAACGGAAGGTCTAGGATTAAGTACCATTAAATCGATTCTTTCCCTTTCTATAGGGGAGCCTTTCAAATACAGAATTAATGGCAATTAAGGCAACCGGTTTTTCTGTCGATGCTCATCGTGGACTCTTCGTTTAATAGCAATGTTAATTAAGAAAAATGTAGAAATGTTGACTCTCATAATTTTACACGGACATTTAAGGACACTAAATTCTTGCATCGACGTAAATGTTTCTTACCTGAGCTCTTACCAGGTTTCATATTGCTATTCCTCTGAGACCTATTTTCGATTACAGGCCTTGCTAATTTAAGTAACTGATAATTTAAGATAATTCGAAACGATCCTAAATTAAAAATCACCAGTTTATGTTATAAGGGACAAAATTCCGTATGGACGTGAAAGGCTAAAGAATGTAAAAGGGAATAGGAAATCGAGAACGGTCAGTAATGCGATAGCACGACTTGGCGGTGGTCTCAGAGAAATCGTGCGTGATCGAATCGCGGGGCATGAAAATTTGATCTCTGTGTTTTGTTCCGTCGTTCGTATCGAGCCACCCTCCGGATGGACAAACGTCAATAAAGCAGCGCACGCGCTCTCGCTAGCTTGATACGATGTTCCACACCGCTATAGCTCGTTCACGTCCCGTTTACCCGGTTAAATTTATTTATGTATGTCTAGGGAAACGGATATTCAATTATTTGTTTGTACATGTACTTATATTAACCGTTCACTCGCTAATGTGTACAGAGAACATGATTGTAATTATACGTTCATTAATATACCTACTTGGGTAATGTTGAGAGATGCGAAACTCTATTCTACATGATTATGATGTGAACATGATAAAATTTGTTTGTGAAATTTTCAGGAAATGATACACGTTTTTTTTTAAATATTTTGAGAGTACTAAGGGTTGAACTTTGATATTTTTATATAAATCTTACACATTCTATCAGGATAATTATTAGAAAAATTATTAAACTTTTGTATTCAAAATATTCTCAAATGTTTCTCTGAATAAGAGGATAGTCTTTTATCAAAAAATTTGATTACACATCTTCCACTTACATTGTGTAATCAGTTCTTTGAAACAGTATCAGTATCATGTCATATGTATGATATCATTATTACTTCCGTTTGGATTTAGTAGAACCTGGACCTATATTGCCTTATCGCGATACAGAGACGCGCTCTTTTTTCTAGTAAAGCATTGATATTACGCAACAGATAGCGTATTAGAACTCCACGACCTCGTCGCGGATCATTGAACCGAAGAATGAATTAATAATCAAGCGGCAGATACGCCTTCCATGGAATTCAATTTCACTCTACTTTTCTCGTCCCAATTAACCTTTTCCTCGAACGACCGTACGTCGTCGAAAGTCTACTGGTAATGCTTTGGTAGGTGGTCATGTATTTATAATTTTATCTCGTAATCATTACCACCTTCCAATCTATACGTCCATTGTAAAAGAATAATGCTATTGTTACAATGTAATAGAAATCGATATTATCTACTCCCATTATTATTTTAATAACCCTATCGGCTCGTTAAAAATGTTATTTATGGGAAACTGAAGCGGTATTCGTTTTCTTTTTCTCTCCGTCTGCTCACGGAGCATGGCCGTTTCTTAACGCGATGATGATTTTCTCAGATGTTTGGGCGTTCGTTCGGATGTATGGCTAACATGCGCACAGGATGAAGTCACTCTTTAATGCACTTAACATTAATGAGAAACTCAAGTGGGTCGAATTGACCTCTATTTGTTAATCCAACACCATCGCCCAGTCTGCTCTTGTATTCCTTTTATTTCTGGGAATAATGGCTTCCAAGAGAAAGGAGACAATCATCGATAAAACTAGATCAAGATCATTAATGAGTATATTCTTTAAAGCTAAATAACAAATAATAAAAGATAATTAATATGATAATATTTACCATCAAATACCTATCAACTGTCTACATGTCAATGTATATTAATCAACGTTTCAATGAACCCAGTGATTAAAAGATTAATCGAACAACGTAGCGGCAAAACCGTTTCCGCTATTATCATGTATTATGCCATCAGAATTGTTTACAAATAAGAGGTGTGCGAAAGACCTGCAGATGAATATGAAACTTCATTTCCTGAAAATAGGCGTATTGTTATGTCGAAATCAGCTCCACTTGGTTGGTTTATCTGTACACGGGTCCCGGAAACGCCTACGACACTCGTATGATTCACACACTGCATCCCAGAAAACGAAGACACGCTAGATTAAATGTCTCCAGCAGCGTGGAATCTTATCGCGTCTTTCACAGGCATTTTAACGCGATAACGTACATGGGAATTGTCACTACCTTAAAATTGAAGATTAGTAGTCCAGATAAAAGTTGAATGAACAATTCAGTTGCAGCAATCAGGTTCACAAGGATGTTGTGAAATTTTGTTGCTTTTTATAGACTTAAGTTTTCTTTTTTTTTCAATTTCAGAATGTGGTGGACAATTACTGGCACCTTTGGTAATATATTACCAATAGATTGGAGCAAGTCTTATGCCAGGAAAATGCATATGCCTGCGCTGAACTTAAATGAGACACCGGTATCAAATGAAAGGTAAGTTGCTGTTCAAGATGCAAGTAATTGTTTAAGTTTGATGCTTTTCATTTGGCAACACAAAATTTTTGGGAGTATCAAGATCATAGAAGAGTGTCTTGAAAGCATAATTGAACATTTGCAAATTGGACGCTTTCATTTTTTTTGCTATAGACCTGAGCTAGAGGATTTAAGTAGCGAAGATGAGGCTGTTGCAACTGATTTGGACATGCATGCTTTGATCTTATCCAGCAGCACTGATACGCACAGTCCAGAAGAGCCACTGAAAACTGCAGAAGAAGTTCTCCGTGAGATAGATGACATAATGCAGGTGTGTAAACAGTAATTTTTCAAAGAAATAAGTTATGCAAGTTTATATGAAAACTAATAAATATTTATGAAAGTAAATAATGATTTTTGTGCAGGAGAGTCCTTCTATGGAAAGATCTCCAGACTCTGATGGATCTTTGTTAGACAGCGATGAGGCACTGGAAAGAAGCAGAGAAGTTCTGGGCTCACCGCTTCATGAGAAAAGTATAATTTCAACTTCCCATAACAGACAATATTATAATGCAGTAAACCATGTAATTTGGATTATAATTATTGTCTTCAGAATTGAAGCAGCTTACCTCCAGTCAACTGACAGAATTGCTTGGAGAAATGGAATCCTTAGTAGGAGCTTTGAGTGAAACTCTAATCTCAGAGCTCGCGTTACGCGATGAATTAGAGTACGAGAAAGAACTGAAAAATCAGTTTATTTCTTTGCTGTTAGCAGTGCAAAATCGGCGAAGACAACATCATGTTACAAAAAAAAGAAACCAAATGCAAAATGGTACCAGTCCTTTACCACAACATAGGTCCCTTCAGGAGTCTAAGGTAAAATATTCATAGAAGTATTAATGACTATATAATGTAAGCATAAAAATATATAATCTTGATATTTGTTTTAGTACTTGACTACTGTAATTCCATATCATGCAGATAGTGGTCCACCAGACAATCATGCTTTACAGGTCCTCATAAGAAGTAAGTAATCAACAAAATATGTGACTACAACTTGATATTAATTTATTCTATTTAATATTACAGTATTAAAAGCAATTAGCGAAGATAGCCCAACTGTACCTACTTTGTTAACAGATTATATACTTAAAGGTAATTAAATCTTAACATTTTATTTATCGATGAATAATGTATAAGTAACAGTATTTAAAAGGCGTAATCGTTTCTTTTCAGTACTGTGTCCTACTTAGTGAGTATACCGTAAATTTGACGAGGAGATCGATAAAAATCCGAAAGAAAGATATTAATTATCCAAGAATACAGTTTGCTTTGTTCTTGCCAGTACGCTTTCAGCCGTTGTTGCGCCGCATCTCTTTGCGTTAAGGCAGGTGATTTTTGCTTATAAATTATGTCTGGGACTACACTCTGTATTGATTGTAGATTTATAAGTATGTAGAGTCCATGACATACACATCTAGTCTTAGTTTATACATTATAACGTGTATATTATTTTACATAAGATATATTTCTAATGATCTATGTATGCGCTCCTTGAAATACCTCTTGTCGTATATGAATTATATAAACCTTTCATTTTTGTACACATCATGAATTTCGTGACAATTCAGTTTTTTGTAATTTTTTGTACATAAAGATTTTATCGAAATACGTGAGCAAATTTACTATATAATATTACCGAAAAATACTTATATTTATGTAGAAAAATATACCTGTTGTAGACTATTTCCTCATAGAAAGGAACGTATAAAGCTTATGGATTTAGTATATATTGTTGTAATGCCAATGTATGTAGAGTTACCTAGTAACGTGTCGCGCAAGATAAAAATATCCCGTTGCTCGATATCACTTCTTCGTAAATGTATACATATTTCACTTTAACATCTGTTTATCAACTACATATAAGATGGCATTAAACACTTTCTGTAAAGCCTCACAGTGGTTCTGATGCATTGTGCTCGTATTAGAAACATTGTGTTTGTTGTAATAAAGAAATAAATTGAACAACCATACTATCAAAGAATATTTTTCTTATGTTATATATTTTGTTCTATGCAAATTTTCCTGTTACCTGTCCATTTAAGTATTTATAATCTATTTTATAAAAATAAATTCTGCGTATATGTTATGTCAGAGCATATTTTTAAAGTCCTATCTCTGCATAAATCCATACATTGTTCTTAGAATTCAGAGTTCCTAAATTTCTGTATCCCTCAGGGAAATAAACTAAATATATTATGGATCTTCACATCTGTTATTAATTTTTAATATACGTTTGCTTATGTAACAAATGGTT